GAACCTTATGAAATTTCCATCTTTAGTTTGAAGTTCCTTTCTTTAGTCTTGTGTAACGAGATTTTGCCGGTGACAAAGGCTTGTCTACAGTTGTAGCTAACAGCAAGGGCAAGTAGGTCAGTACCTAACACGATAAGTTTGTTTTGGCCGTTGAAGATTTTTCCGTTTCATGATATTATCTTATGAGGAAAAAAATAAGAAAGCTAAATTTTCAAATTTCATTGAATTTACAGGTTGAACTTTTAATTATCTAAACACATAAAATTTGTAACATAAATAATTAACAACAAATATATTTAATTTATTTGACAAAAACTTATGTTGGTCAAGCCTACAAAAATATTACTTATCGGCCTTGTCGATGTGTCTATTGATTTATTCCATTAATTAACCCTCCCCCCACAATCCATATATAAAAAAATAAGTCCACGAAAGCATTGGTAACATTGGCCTCTATCGTACTATTACGTAAAAATTGTACGGGGCGTCCTATTTGGTCGCCCCCATTTAACCTATACCCATTTTTTTAAAAAGTTTTAATTTGTACCCACTTTTTAAATAACTCCAGCCCCATTTCTCATCCTCCTTCTCCTCCTTCGTTTTCTTCTTCTTCTGAAATAAATAGCTGAAATATACAAACAAGCAATTGACTGAGTTGTCAAGCAAGAGGACGACCATCCCGTATGCCATATTTGATTTTCCTTTGCCTTTTTAAATATTAATTCTTCTACTGTCTTCCTATAAATCTGTGTCTTCACTTGATAGAGAAGAGTATAAAAACAAGAAGAACAAAGAAGAATTCAAGCTTTAAATAATTTTAAAAAAAAAAGATTGATCAGCTGTTTCATTCCGCAGACAAGGCTCTTCTGGACTTATATGGGGCGACAAATTCTTATCAGGTGAATTGAATCAGCATGTTAACCATAAATACGAAATTACTAAATGTAACAAAGCTTCTCATTCCATGGGAGAAGGAGGACAACCCAAAGAGGAGAATATGCTGGTGAAGGCTTCATCAATTGGATCAATGGAGAGGAGCAAATCCAACGGCTTCATATAAGAGTTAATTTTACCAAGCCGAAGTTTTCCAGTTACAACACAAAAATTTCAGTTCTAGAGCTGAAGTTTCCCAGTTACAACACAAAAACTTCAGCTCTAGATCTGAAGTTCGCCAGTTACAAAACAAAAACTTCAGCTCTAGAGCTGAACTTCAGGCCCGACTACTAGAATGCTGAAGTTTTGCGTGATTGCCTTTGCTACTTCAGCTCCGTATGCTGAAGTTATGCGAAAAAGCAGGTACGCTTGCAATTTTTTTTGCAAAGCGGGCACAAGTTAAAATATGACACAAAAAGCGGGTATAGATGCAAATGCCCCTACTATTCCGGATCGAAAGTCTGCTCAATCACAATGGGCTTTGACCCTATGTTATCTCACATTAGTAGTGGAGTGTTCATAAAAATGAAGGCGTCGCTTCATTTTCTTGTTCTCTTATTTTTATATTATTTTCAATATTGTCGTTCTTTTATTGGTTTACATTAACTATCATCGTCCAACTCCAAACCGGAGGCAGCACTAACAAATTAGAAAATCAACATGTAAAAATTTCGATTTCCTAATTCTTGAATATAACACAAAAAGTCATCTATAATAATAAAATAAAATAAAATCAGAATAACCAAGTTGGCAATTGGGCAAATTAGAACAATATCGCTATTCACTTATCAAAGTAGTCTGATGGTGAATTGAAGATGGGAAAGAAAGGAGGTGATTTAATTTGCATTCTATTTTCAAACGCAAAGAGGCCTATTCTTTCTTAAAAGTTGATCCCACAACGCCAGTCAAGGCTTAAGAGAGAAAGACTAAATACGTACTCTTTTGCAATCTTTGTTAAGGTGGTTCGCCCAGTGTAGGAACTAGGAATAACAATGGGGCGGTTGCGAACAGGAGCGACCCAACAAATTTTGTGGCTTAAGCTAAACTTTAATAAGGGGCCTTAATATTTTTTTAAAATTATTATTATCTTATTTTAAGTCTATTTTTATACCTTTTTAGATGCAAAGTTATTAATAATTATCTTACAATCAATTTCTTTTAATAAGTCTTTCTCAATTGACAATATAGGTCAAATATATTTTCCCTTTTATGCAACTTCCCATGTAATTTTACTTTTTCACTTCACAAAATTTTTTTAAAACTTATATATAACATATTAGGTGTAACAAAAAATAGGGCCCCTACAAATGTGAGACCTAAAGCAGTTGCTTTACCTGCTTTAGGGAAGGGCCGTCCCTGGTTGCAGGGCGGTTTTTGCTGAACCCGCAAATTTTTCAACCTGCCCCGCATAGCATTTTTATCTATTTCTAACCCGCCCCGCCCCGCATCAAGTCTGTTTTTTCCCCTTTTTTCATTTGTTATTTTTTTTCTGTATTTCTTCTTTGCTTTTCGATTTTTTGCTTTGTTTCCTTCTAAACAACGTATGTTTTTACAAAAACGAATTTGTTAATTATTACTGGAAATCATTCTCCTATAAAAATATTCAAACTAGTATGGCATATTTAATTTTTTCGGTCAATATATAGGTGTGATTGTAAACCATAATACTCGAAAATACCACTAGAACACTTATATTCTATATTGCTACCATTCTATATTGAAACTTCAGAAATAATACTAGTCTTCATGGAATAACAATAAGAAATTACTCTATTTCATTTATTTGTAGTCGTCGAATCAAATAAATAATATATTCAAATATATTATAGCAAACTTGTTATTTTCCATCATTGTAGCCTCGTAACATGTTTTTCTTTAGTTTTAGCAATTAAGTAGCAGGCACTCTTAAAAGTAAATTATAAATAGATAGAATAGATTATGCAACTTCAGAATTTGAAAATTTTCCAGAAGTCTCGGGTTCAAGTCTGGGTATGAAGTCGCCTTTGTTAGGGAACGCTTTGCTTCCAATGTAGATTTTTCGGTGTGAATTCGAATTTAATCGGATCCTAATGGCGATACCAAGCACCGGGTAAGAAACCAAAAAAATAAAATACATACTAGCGTATCTCGAACCTTCATGACAACTAATATCCTTCCAACTGAAGGTGCTTGTTTTCGTATTTTTTTCGATAATTTTATTTATATGGAAATAAAAACTTATTTTAATTACTTCATGATGTTATAGAATGATATCAAAACGTAAACATCAATTATTTAATATTAAAATCTAAAATGATATTCATATTTTATTCATTAAATAATTTAAAAAGCTAATACACTACTAAAAGGGACGGATTTAGGGATAAAAATTACACTATATATATATAAGGCAAATCTAATCTTTACCTGTTTTGAATCCTCATGTACCAGTCTAAAAATATAGCTTAGAGGTTCAAAAACTTTACAAGGTTCAATTCTCCTCAGAGCGCATAGGGGTATTTTTGTAATTGCAACATATTTCAAGTTATGCTGCTGCAGCTGCTCTGTTAATAATAACAGCATATAACGTTTTTGGTGAAAAAAATTCACCCGCCACCTAAGGGTGGGCGTTCGGGCTGTTCGGATTAAATATAAAATTTCGGTTTGGATTTTTGATTTTCGGATTGAAGAAATGACAATCCAAATCCAATCCAAATAAGCTCGGATTGGATCAGATTTTTTATGTTCGGTTCCGGATTAATCGGGTTGGATATTTTGGATTTTCGGTTTTGAGCTTATAAGTTGACATGTTTCTTCTTTTTACAAAAATGAATATCCAAATGAAGTACTCATATTAAATTAACAGAAAAGTTACTCATTCTCACGGCAATCATCCAAATAAAGTATTCAAGTAATGAAATTACTATCAAGAAAATGCAACAGACATTAATACGGCCGATAAGAAGCAGTAATAGTAAAACCATGTCCAAATAGAAAGTATTCTGACAACAACTTAGTATTTAATCTTGCATATATGAAATAATATCTAATGGATAGGGTTTTTAAAATATTATTATTGGCATATAGATAATGGACAAAATATAAAAATTTCCGGATTTTTGGATATCCAAAAATTTAAAGTACCAAATCCAACATCCAACCTGAAATCCAAAAAAATTAAAAATTAAATCCAAAATCCAATCTGTAATCCGAAAATCCAAACAAAAAATCTAAAAAATTCGGATTTCAGTTTGGATTTCGGGTTTGCCCAAACTATGCCCACCCCTACCGCCACCGCTAGAATTTGAAAATTTTCCATTTCAACCCGGCCTACATCGCATAAGCCTGAACCCGTCCCGCCCCGCAACCGCGGTTAACCCCATTTCAATTCCTAGCCCAATGCTTTTACCAATATTATTTTAAAAGAAGAAAAACAATTATACTTCATATATGTAAGTAATAAAATATCTCAGGGTGTTCAGACAAACCACCTAAATATTTCAATTCGAAATAGCGTCTGAATATTGAATTCATGATAGTAATTAAATTATGGGCATGCTTAATGAAAAGGACAGAAGCGAATTCACTATGACATTGAGCCATTCCCCAACTAATTAAATTAGTAGTTAAAGTTCACACATTAAATCCAATTCTGATTTGCATAATCTTATATTTTCAAACTTTAAAGTTGCAATATATCGATTTGAAATAACAATAAATAGCTTCCCTGTATATGTGTGATCTTGATATACACTGTTAGTTAATGATATCTGATATAGCAGATTTATCTGCCTGAAAATAAGGTAAAAAAACAAATTATTTTTCAAAACTTGCCTATAATGGTATTTTGGTATTCAATTACTTGCAATTATTACAACAATCCTAAATATGGCTTAGTTCACACTTTGATTTCTCAATAAAACCAGCTTCTTTATTGCGGCTCCTTTTAATTGAATTAAAAGTTGTGTATATATATATATATATATATATATATATATATATATATATATATATATATGTATATATATATATATATATGTTGTGCCCACAATTAGCAGATAGCAATATTAATTAAGAAAAGTAGAAGAATGGTGACCCATTTTCTGTTCCTTTTTATTTCTTTGCTGATTATTTGTAGAACAGAAAGTCTCCTTGTTAATATCACTATACTTGAAAGTGCCGTAGCACAAGGAGCAGGTAACCTTTTTTCTTTTTTTCTTCTTCAATTCCTTTAGTTTCTTCTTTTTTCGTTTTTTTGTTATATATATATATGTTCACAAAACATCTTCTTTTTTAATATTCTTAACTGTTCAGAATGTTCCTCGATGTGTGATACTATATATGTAAACACACATGTCGCTAGAGGCAGAATCAGGGATTCTAGTCCTTTTTAAGCCACTAGATTCTAAATTAATACTTTGTACATGGTTCTAATTCCAATGTGCGTATCTATCTAAATAGCATGTATTATCTTTCGAATTATTTATCTTTTCATTTTTTCGTTTATTTATCTGTTGGTAATATAATGTTGTGTTTATAGTTTGCTTGGATGGAACTCCACCAGCATACCATCTTGATAGAGGATCTGGCACAGGACTGAAGAATTGGGTAATATCAATTGAGGTTAGTTTTGTTTCAATATTAGCTACTATAAAATTCTGTCTTCGTTATTATTTATTAGTAATAATAAGAAGAAAAACTCAAAAAAATTCCAAACTGAATGCCCATCCTTGAAATTGAATTATTAAGAATTTTGAGAAGTACTGTTATTTAAGATTTTAATATCTATGCATATGATAAGTGAATTTCTATCTTAGCAGTATATAATTAATTATATAAATTTGTTAATTTGGATATTAAGGGAGGTGGATGGTGTCAAAATATAACTCACTGTCTTCAGAGGAAGAATAGTCACTTGGGATCTTCTGCAAAAATGGGTAAGCAAGTTGCTTTCTCAGGGATTATGAGCAATGATCCCAAGTTTAATCCAGGTAAACTTCCAATTTTTAATTCTTAAAATGTGCGTGCTATGTTTATATATAGCTTAGTATAATTAATACACTACACCTTTTTGGAAATTTGTAGAATTTTATAATTGGAATAGAGTTAGCGTCAGATATTGTGATGGAGGATCTTTTACGGGAGATATTGAAGCAGTTGATCCTGTAAGTCTCAATGACTAAGTATATTTTTCTTAAATTGAACTCCTAATGTTTTAATTATATTACAGTATTTAAAGGGTTCTTTTTCCTAATTAAAACTACAAATTTGACAGGCTACTGGACTCCATTATAGAGGGGCAAGGATATTCAAAGCTATTATGGCCGATTTATTGGCCCAAGGAATGGATACAGCTGAAAATGTATGCTTATATTCAGTGTTTACACCAACTCAATGAATATATAACATTTATCTTCACATATATTATTACATCGTTATCTTTTAACTGTACTTATCACATATTATCACATCAATATTTTCACTAACCATAGTAAACTAATACTATCGTTTTGTATAATTTTATGTATACACCATACATTAGTAAGTTATTTCCCCTTTTTCCTTTCCCTCCCATCAAAGAAAAAAAAAAAGATTTCCTTTTAATTTCCTCTTTTTAACTCTCTACTTTTTGAAATGGTAGGCTATACTCTCTGGATGTTCAGCTGGGGGATTAGCATCAATCTTGCATTGTGACAATTTCAGAGCTCTATTACCAAAAAGTGCTAGAGTTAAATGCTTTTCAGATGCTGGTTATTTCGTTAATCTGTAAGCGTTATATAAATTTTTTGTTTTCCTTTTGACAATTAAATAAGAATCGTTTTGTTTTCATCGATTTTTTCTTGCTATAATAATTATTTAATGTGTTTAATCGCAGCAAAGATATTTCTGGGGAAGCATATATTGAAGAGTATTTCAATGACGTTGTCACTTTACATGTATGTTTCATTTAACTCTTTTTCGTATCTTTTTTATTTAAATATTATATTTATTTTAGAATTGTATTTTAAATTTTTGTGTTGAATTTAGGGCTCCGCCAAGAATCTGCCTCCATCATGTACTTCAACATTGAAACCAAGTTTGGTATGAGCAATACAATTAATCTCAAGAACTAAGCTTATATAAGAAAACAAAGTAATGAAATTCCAAATCGAATAAGTAGTAGTAATTTTTTTTACTTGAATATGTTGCAGTGCTTTTTCCCTCAAAATGTGGCTCATCAAATTCAAACGCCACTTTTCATTATAAATGCAGCCTATGATCATTGGCAGGTCAGTTTTATTAAATTACTAAGATTTTCAAACATGCACTTTTTAATTGCTTTTGTCTCCTGAATTTTGAATATTTACTTTTAAATTTAATTTAGGTAAGGAACATTTTGGTCCCTTCTACTGCTGATCCTACTGGAGCCTGGACAAATTGCAAGGCTGATATGAGGAATTGCACGCTAAGTGAACTCCAAGTTCTTCAAGGTCAGTAATGATCTTAAATTTTTGTGACACATTATTTATTTTTATTTGTGTCATTTTCTGAGTATATGAAAGTTGTGTTTAAGTAATTTTGGAACAATTATTTTAGGTTTCAGATTAAACTTTTTAAAGGTATTGGAAGGGTTAGGCCCTTCTTCAACAAGAGGATATTACATCAACTCTTGCTTTTCCCATTGCCAAACTCAACAACAAGCCTATTGGTTTGGTCCAAATTCACCTAGATTATTCAACAAGGTAAAAATTCTTAAGCTCTCTAACTATAGATATATCCAACAAAAATTCCTATTAATTGCTGTTAATCTTTTGACATATCGATGATATTTCAGACAATTGCTGAAGCAACAGGGGATTGGTTTTGGGAAAGAAATCAGTTTCAAGAGATTGATTGCCCCTATCCTTGTGACAAAACTTGTGTTGAAGATAGCAGTAATTAGGTCATAGAGGGGATTATAATGATACAGGAAGAAGGATAATTCTTTGATTTACTCTGTACTAGAGAGAAAAGCATAATGTATGATCATAATTATAATGAGCAATATAATGTATGTGGTTGTTTTCATGACTTATTTTGTCTGATTTTTTCAGTGATTATAATCAAATTTATCCCAATTAGCAAGCCACAATAGTATCAAGAAATTGGGGACTTGAGAAAATAAGTAAACTTGTGCGTAATGCACCATTATCTCCTTCCTTTAGAAAAAAATGTACTAATTGGAAAAAAACATATCCTCCTCTTGGCTAACAATATTGCATGTAAAATATTCATCACATTGGCAAATTGAATGAGTTGTGTTAAACGATAGATCAAAAAGAATTATCTGGCATTTTATGATGTAGATGTGTTACTTTTGGAAACGTCTCCAGAAAACAGACAACACCATTTTGATCGGTCTCTACCATTACAAAAATATGACATTAAACTAGGATTGATCAACAGAACATTGATTTGGACAAATTAAAGGGTTTCTACCTTTTTCTACAAAGGAAAAAGGTTCAGATATTCCCCTGAAATATTTGAAGATAGTTATCCATACCCCCTTATAAGTTAGATTGTATAACTTACCTATGTATAGTCATTTACGTGTTTTTGGTAAATATATAGGTAACTTTTGCCAATCTACGTTTCAAATATTGTGTTCTCCTCAGTTGTCCATTAATTAAATTTTACAAGGGTTTTAAATGTTCTACTATTTGATTAAGATTATTTGCCATATACGTTTCTAATTTCATAAAGAGATCTTTCCCTGCCGACAAGCTTCTCCTCTTCTTTTTCTTCTTCACGGTACTATTCGGTCTTGTCAACACTTGAAATTCTTCTTATCCTGATCCTAACACCTCTATTATCCCCACTAGATTAGATCCAACTTCAACTCAATCTCTTAACCATCAATCTATTCCTTGTACAAAACAAATTCCTACTAATACACAAATACATTCGTTATCTTTAGCCAAATAACTAATGACACGTCTCAGTTTCTCTTTCTTCTATCTTTTATTATCCAAAATACTTTTGCCTTATCCTAAGATCCATCATATTATTTCCAGAAAGCTGACTGATTATTTTAAACCATGCAAGTCTCACATACAGAGTTCTTGAAATTATGTCACGTAGTAAAATACTATCGAATGGAAAAATAGTTCCTATTTGACAGTTGCTAGTGACAATGACATGCACCCCGTGGAGATTTAGCTGCATCTACCTAGTTATGAAATGAAGGAACTATGCTAGCGTAGACATATAATTTTTGACTCGTCTATTGTTCAAGCTACTCCAGTATTTTATACATATCTATTTGATTTTATATTAATTTTCTAGGATTTTGATATATATAGTATTTTATTTTGTCGTTTTAGTATTTTAACAATTAAAAACATAAAAAATAGTTTCACTTTTGATAGTTGATTTTATTTTAGTAGTTTACCTGGTTAATTAAGAGTAATTTTGTATTTTTATAAAAGTATTTTATATTTATATTATATTAGAAAGGAAAATTAGTGTCTTTTATGCTAATTTATGAGCAATTTCGAGCCCAATATCCCCAATTTTAGGGCGCAAATCGGCATCCCTCCCTTTCCACACCATCAGCCCAAATGCCATACAAACACAGCAGCCCAAACTGGACCTGACCCGCCCCACTCTCCTCTAGATCTCAGCCGTTTATCCCTATTTGATCAACGACCACAATTCCTCCCTAACTAAATATATAAACCTAATATTAAAAAAAAAACCTAACCCTAACTCTATCTACCAAACGGCGCCCCCATTCCCTTCAACGCTTCTGCCCGCATCCCTCACTGCCCAAACTCGCCGGAAAACTCACCAAACCCGGCGAGTTCGCTCAGCCGAGTCCCATGGTCCCCCCTCTCATCTTCTTCTTCTTCTTCCACGTCATCCCTTCCGTACTAAATCTCATGATTCCTTAAACTGATTCACGCGTTCTCTTCATTTTTTTTGTTTTCGTTGGGGGAAATCCGGATCCTTGAATAAATCTTGGAAGAATGGGAACCGTTGGATGAAGATTTTTGTCCAAAATTTCCATTTTTCCGAGTTTTGTTTGTGAAAGGGGATTTTCGGAATTTATTTGGTGGTCCCACGCGTTTACTTGGTGAAGAAGAAGAAGTTTCGAGAGGGAGATGTATATTTTTCGGGGGTTCTCTGGACAGGGGGCAATTGGAGAAAAATTAAGGTTCTAAGAGTGAGTTCTTTTCTTCTCATTTGGTCCATCTTCAGTTGAGTTTGAGTTCCAAAAAAAAAAAAATTCAATCATCTCCCTCTAATTTTTAGGTTGTTTTGAATTTAAAAAAAATACAAAAAAAATAATGTTTCATCTCTTGCTTGGCCGAATGGAGTTTGGTTTTGGAGTTACCGTTGGAAGTCGAGTTCGTGGTTCCTGTTCGATCTAGTTGCTGTTTTTCTTGTTCGGATTTTGTGATTCAGAGCATTGTAGCCGACTCTCTTAATTCTCTTCTACTAAGAAGAAACTTGCACTTCTCAGGTTCATTCTCACAATCCCATTAATCTTGCTTTTCTTATTGCAAATTCAACCGGAAGAGCCATTTTAGGATGGGTTCGTTGGTATTCTGTTTAATCGATTAGATACAGATTTATGGGAATATGGGTTCGTTATTCTCATTTTGGTTTAAGCTGTGTCATTTGATTGTTAATCACTTTCAATAGTTTGCTTATATTTTAGGAATGAATCAATTTTCAACTCATTTGGATCTTGTACTGTCGTAGTACCCCTTATTCCTACTTATTCTTAGTCTAACACCAGCATGAAGGGCATATTTTAAAGGGGTTTATTTAGTCTTATTAAGGTTTTAAGTAGGATAGGTTCATTACTCTTGTTTGAAAATTGGTAGATCACTGCTTGAAATCAAAAATCTAAACTAAAAGTGCCATAAAACCATTTCCCTCATTTCTTTAATTCAAATCTGACATTATGTCTCAATCTTAGTTGTTGGAATGTTCTTTCTTATTCGAATTAGTTAGCGTTCTAAAAATTGATATCTCCAGCGTGGTTTCACTTCTCTATAGTTACTAGGATACTTTTGTCAAACTAGTGTAGTAACCATGTGTTTAGGACCTTGAGCTTTTCTTATTTATTACTGTAGTCTATTTTCTCAATCTCAGATGATGGACCGTTATTTATGAGAAATGGATTAAGTGCATTGAGATGTGAAATTTTTAAGAAATCAGTTTGTGGCTATTAATGCGGGTCGATTAAACTTGCAGTAAATATTTAGGATCCATGTTCATGTCCAGCTAAATATCTTGTTTTGGAATATTTCATTGGTTTGAATTAATTGGGGTAGGTAGTAAAGATCTTTAGATGGCTCTTTCAGATGGCTTTAATTCACCTTTCCTTACTCTTATCTCCATTTTGGTTTTCTTTAGCTCTTATTTCCTCGTAAGTGTTGAGTTTTATTGGGTAGTCTTTATCTCTGTTTGAATCAGCTTGTTTATGTGAATGTTTTAGATGTAAGGAGGATTTCGAGGGGTTGGGTATTGAAAGTTTGAAATTAACGAAGCTGAGTTCAATTGTCCATTTGTTTCTTTTATTATCTTGTTCGTTAAGAGCATGCTTAGGCCGACCATATTTGGGTAGGCAAACCTTTAGGATGTTCGTGTTTTAGCTTCTTTCTGAGGCGAGAGGTCCCCCTTAGTTAAATTTATTCGGGAAATGCCCCGAAGGATTTGTATATATATTTATTTCTGTGTATGCCCCGAAGTATTTGTATTTGGAGGCCGATAGTGGAACTTGCAGTATTTTGTTTTTATTTTTATTTTTCTTTTATTAGGTGGGGACGGCCTGAAGCCTTGTATGTGTTTATTTTGCTTTTCTGTATTTTTACCTCAACTTGAATACTTTAAAAGCCGATTAGATCAAGTATGCAACCGTACTAGTTACGGGACTTGGGGAGTGCCTAACACCTTCTCCCCGAGTCAAATGAGCCCCCTTACCCGAATCTCTGGTGTAGACTTATAGTATGGAGTCCAAATTGTTTTAAAAGGAAAATTATTTTTTAAAACGGTGACTTGGCACACCGAAACCAATGTCAGGTGGCGACTCTGAGTTATTTCCTTTTGAACACAATTTTGTCACTTTTTAATTAAAAATCCTTTTGAGCTTTATAAATCTTTTCAATATTTTTAAGAGGGTCAGTGAACTAAAAAAAGGGTGTGACAGCTCTGGCTACTCTGCTGGGGACTTGCAGGTTCGAGCTGATACTACCATTTTGTTGGCTTTTAGAATATTTGGTTGAGGTTTTTATGCTTTTTCATTAGTTTTACTTGATTTTATTATGTTTTTATATTTTGTTATTAATTGCTAGTAGTTTATGTGTTTACGGTTTTTGCTTTATGTGTTTACTGCTTTATAATTGTTATCATATGCATTACCCGGTCAATTCTTTCTGCAACAAGTCTCAGAGTACGTTGGAGGGGGGCCGTCGGACGTATGGAGTGGGTGGATAGCTTGAGCAGCCACCATCGACCATACGCTCCCCCGAATTGCCTTGTTAGTGAACCCCAAACTTAGGTCAGCCTTTAGGTCATTCTTATTTGCATCATGTCATTCAAACCTAGTAGGGCTCGGTCCCAGGCACCGTGTCCCGTCGTAGGAGGTCTATCCAAATTATGTCAAAATGGGCCCGTGGCCCAAAATGACACTCAGTCATTCTATGTGCTGAATGTTGTATCTACGAGGGTAGAAAGGTCATTTGGTGGATCGATATTTTGGAAAGAAGGGTGAAAAATGAAGCAAGTAAGACTCAATTATATTTTTCTTTCACAACTTTTTCAAGAAAAACCAAAAAAAAAATTGAAAATGAAAAATCCAAAAAAGATCTTGCACTTTTCCATCATTTTCCAAAAAAAAAAAAAAAAGAGAAAAAAAGAAAATACAAAAGATTTTACATTCTCCATTATCTTTCAAAAAGACAAAAAAATATAGTTTCTCCAAATTAGTTGCATATTTTTAAAAGCTTTCTCCCATGTCCAAATCTTCTCGAACTACGCATACCTGATTTTCGTTTTTCGGGGCGGGATACGTAGGC